AATAAATAATTTAAATTATATCATAATATTAATTTTAAATAGAAATAAGTAGATTGTTAATTATAAAAGTAAGTATATATATATATATATAAATAAAGATTAATTGAATATAATATAATTATTATTAGTAATATAATTATTATTAGTAATATAATTATTATATATTTATAATGGTTTGGATACACCGGAATGAGAGTGATCCAAAGATAATATAAGTATGAAATTGTATAGTTGAGAATGACTTAAATGAATTAATTTGTACTACTTATACTGATAACATGTATATCTACTTTTCTGTAGCTTATCTCATCAGAACTCCACAGTTAAGTATGCTTACTTGGAGTAATATAGGGATAGGTGACATTTTGGGAAGTTTCCCAGAAACTGTGTAAGTAAGGACAAAACATGCTAAAAAGTGAAGTATTGTGAAATAGAATTTTTGAGAAGAATAACAACCGAATTTGAGACGTCTATAAAATTTAATAAAATAAAAAATAAATATTTAACGACTGATTTAGAGGCAGTTAGTGCGCCAGATACTATAAGGGTCACAATTCTAATTTTGCAACGGTTTGTGCAATGGTTCCAGTAACCGTCACAAAATTCACTTGTGACGGACATTTCTGTTGCAGTTGGTGAACTGTCGCGATAGTGTCTTTGCGACAGTTCTAACCGTCGCAATGTAGGCTATATAACTGTCGCAAAATCGTCATTTTCTTATAGTGCCTTGTGCCTGGAATAAATCAAAACCTTTTGAGTGTGGGACAAATGCTTGAAAATATTTATTCTTTGTGATTTAAAAATATGGGATGCACAATTTTTTATCCTTTCGGGTATGAGCTTATGTCCATTAAAATGAGAGATAATGGTTTTTAATAGGGTGGAAGAAAAAAGTCATGCATGCTATTTTAAATAAAGATGAAGGTTTGAAAAATGGGTCACTTGAAGGAACATTTCAAAGTCTAAAATGTGATTCAAATGGGCTCACAATAGAAGCTACTCATGATAAAGTGACTTTGGCCAATGGAGGAAATAAATTTTTTAATTGGAAAATTTTAGTTGAAATTATTGTACTACTTCTTATCAACTTAATGATATATTTTATGAAGAAGAACAATGTTTATAACGTTGCTACAACTCTCATAGAAAGGGTTTTTCAAGATGGAAAATGGATTAAGGAAATTGCAAGGATTTTTATTTCAAGTGAGAAAATTAATGTTAAGCTCAAAGATGTTAAATTTGTTGATGCTTATCTACTTTAAGGAGATCAAACAAAGAAGTGTAAAGGATTATAAAGATCAAAGCTTGAAGTAATGAAGAAAAATCTCAAGGAGGAGTGTTAGTAGTTGAGATTTTTCCACTTTCATAATTAAATATTTTAAAGTCTATGCAGTTTTTTGTTTTTCTTGTAAGTTTGGCTAAAGGTTACTTATGTCCAGAAAAAAGAAAATTGTGCAGGCAAGTAATGTTTGCTTATTAACACTACAAAAAAATAGGTAATTACTGGCGGTTTTTTTTTGCGGTTTCCATAAACTGCCAAAAAATGTTACATTTGTGGTAAGGATGGCAAGTGCTACAAATTATTGACACTTTCTGGCGGTTTTAAACCGCAGGAATGGTAATAGTTACAAGTGTTGCCACTTTTTGGCGGTTTTAAACCGCCAGAACGTTCAATAATTTTTTTTATTAAAATAAAACTAAAAAAAACATTTTTAAAACAAAGTACGCAGGGGTATTTTGGGGAAAAAATGAAAATGGAGGCAAACTGCATCGCTTTTGAAGGCGAAACTGAAGAAAACAAATTCGGAAAAGTGAATTCGTTTAGTTTTCTTCTTCCACTGAATCCCATGACGAGAGTGAAGCACACGCCAGCTTCTCGGAAGCCTGGTACGTTTCAATTTCAACTTCTTGCTTTCGATTTTCGCAAAACCTTCATTTCTGCAAACTCCTCCCAGGTAGGAAGAACAAAGCGTCGCACGCATCCACCTCCGCGCCAGAATTACATCAATCTCAATCGGTAAACCTCCCTATCTTTCTCTTCGCGCCATTAGATCTATAGGTTCGCTCCTCCAAATTTTGAATTATTTACATTCTTGGATTCCAATACTTGTGATTATATATTATCCTTTTAATTTGATATAACTCCTTAACAACAAATCATATACCTTCGTAGGAACAAACCCAAATTTCTCCCTTCATGGAGCTCTATTTTTGTTACTCTATACAAATCCTATATATGCAAACACATGACTCATTGCAGACACGAGACAGTCACAACTCCATTATAATATAAAACTTGAGTTACTCTTTATTATATCGACACGTTAATTTAAAATGTCATGTTAGCAAAAATCCTTACATGTGATTATATACTATCCTCTTAATTTTGATATAATTCCTTAACAACAAATCATATACCTTCTTAAGTACAAACCCTAATTTCTCCCGTCATGGAACTTTATTTTCATTATTCTATACAAGTCATTTATATATATATATATATATATATATATATATATATATATACATGACCGTAGCAAACACGAGACAGTTGTAACGACATTATAATATAAAAAGTTGAATTACTCTATATTACATTGATAAATCAATTTAAAATATCTCTAAAATAATGTTGTCATGTTAGCAAAAATATTTATGTGTGATTCTATACTACCTTCTTATTTTGATATAACTCCATAACAACAAATCTTATTCCTCCATAATTAAAAACCCTAATGTCTCCATTCATATAGCTCTATTTTCATTATTCTATACAAATCATATATATGCAAACGTGTGACCCGTCGTAGACACGAGACAGTTACAACTCTGTTATAATGTAAAAGTTGAATTATTTTGTATTGCATTGATACATCAATTTAAAATGTGTCTAAAATATTTTCATCTCACAAAAAATTCTTCCGTGTGATTCCATACTATTATCTTATTTTATTATAACTCATTAACAACAAATCATATATCTACATATATAAGTACAATCCCTAACGTTTTCCTCAATGTTTATTTTTAACGATTTTTAATAGAACAGTGTGAACACAATTTTGTGATGTAATCCATAAAAACCTAGCAACTATAAATATTATGTGATTAATATATAACAATTTTCATATATTTATTTCATATCTTTACATTCCAAAATAATAATTATCATGTTACAAAATTTTGATATACATATATTAAAATATTATATAAAAACATGAAATTTCAATAAACCGCACCGCAAGTCCATGTCTAGTTCACAATAAAACCAATTTTCCAGCATCAACGTGATTCTATAGTAGATTGAAAATGAGAGTAGTATTCATTGACAAGCTGCCTGAATAGTGATCCTTCAGTCTTCATTAGGCTCATTGGTTCATCATATTCCACCAAATTTCCTGTTAATACAATATCCTTTTCTTTGAAGAAAACATGTAAATGATAAGAAATACTCTTCAACTTCTTTGTTTGTTGTCTTCAAGTGTGAAATCAGGTAACCCATAATTTATAAGTTATCATTTATAAGCCATGGAAGTGTACGGAAATGTTAAATCAATTACCTTATTGTTTATCATATTACCATCTACGTTAATGCTATGCAACCAGACCCTTTTCTCAACAACAAACCTATGTGTTGTGTTGCTCAAACCAAGTGGTATTTGCACTCTTAAATGTTCAATTTTTATAAAAGGATAGTTTGGTATCAACATTAGAAAATGGAAGTAGACTTAAGGACTAGTCTTAAAAGTTTGTTAAATGATATAAAATGCAGTCAATATGCAACTTACCTTCACTGATTGAAAGAACCATTGTACAATCCATCACGGTTGGTATTCTGTGAGCTACTGTGATCACTGTGCAATCTGCAAACTCAGTCCTAATGGTTTTCTGCAGAATCATATCAGTTATGTTATCAATTGATGCAGTTGCTTCATCCAACACCAATATTTTACTTCTTCTCAAAAGAGCACGCCCCAAACAGAATAGTTGTCTTTGTCCCATGCTCCAGTTTGATCCCTCTCCAACAACTAAGTAACAATTTCAATGAGTCATTACTAATTAGGAAAAAAGCTCTTGCAGTATAGTAAAATTTTGGTTTAATTACCCTTGTGGTCCTTAAAGTTTCATGAACTTTATTTTTAGTCTCTATAATTAAAAATATTTCATTTTAGTCTTAATTTATACATACTATTTTTGTTTCCTTTTAGTCTTTATAATTTCATAACTTTAGATTGTAATCCCTATAGCAGTATATGATAACGATAGGGACTAGAAACAAAAGCTGTATGTATAGGAACAAAAAGGGAATGTTTTGTAACTATAGAAATTAAAAGATAAAAGTTTATGAAACTATAAGGACTAAAAGGATAATTAAACAATAAAATTCTGAAACTTTAAGTTGTACCTGAGGAGTTGAGGCCATCTTCTTTCTCTTGAACAGTTTCTCGCAATTGACATTTACCAAGAACCTGAGTTTATATTATGCATGAATTAGTCCATATTT